GCTGCTGGAGGCTGTGGGGATTCCTGGCTTTGAGAGTTGATGATCCCTTTGCCCTGGTATTCCTTGAGTTGCTTGGGGAGAAAGGGGTACAGCCAGGGACCAGCTTTTTACCTCTGCAATCACTGTACACAAGGCTGGTGGTGCCAAGAGGTGCAAAGCTTGTGAGCCTATAAGCCAGTGAGTGTTATTGAATCCCAAGCCAGCAATCCCTTTGCTGTTCACAGCGTTTAAGAAGAAGGACTCTTACTCTGAAGCATAAAGAGGGAGTTTAAATTTTGGATTAACTTCACTTATGCTAATCTCTCCTTCAGATCATGCCTTAAACACCTTCCTTCAAAGCGCCAGTACGTCAGACAAAAAAGGGTGTCTTCGAAATGCAGCCTAAATCTGCTCTCCAGGAGATGGCACTGTGAAACTAGTCTTTCAGCGTCCTAACGCCAGCTTCCAGAAACCAACTTCTCTTTGAATTAGGGCTGATGGATAAAATGAAGACAAAGGTGTAAGTAAGTGATAGCCGTGGCCCACAGACTGTCATGAATTAAGGGCTTGATGGTGTTTTTACCTCCTGTAAAGATTGTGATAAGGAGGGTTGAAAACCGTAAAACTTAGAAGCTGAAGCCACGGTTTGTTAAGTGGAGGGGGAAAATGCACAGTAGCTGCACTATGAACTCAGTAGCAGCCCCAGACAGAAGAGATTTCTGTGACAGAGGAACTAATAGAAGCTGTACTTGTCCTTTTGGTCTCCTCTCTGACATCAAGCTCCTGTTAGACACTCTTCATCCTTCAGCTCACTCAGGTTGAACACCTCTAACCATCCCCAAATAATTCAACAGTGTCAGCTGCACAGCCTTGCCCCTTTTTCATTGCAGTGCAACTCAATGGGAGCATCCCAAAAGCAGGCAAATATCTCCCAAAGTGGAGATAACCATATCCTTTGGGTATAAACCTGGCTGCCACCAAATAACTTTTGCCCTGTCTGATAGTGTTTATCACAGATGAAACTCCAGAGCCTGAGTTTTGCTATTTTACCTATAGGAAGGTTGGCTCAGGTCCCACCATTTGCACTACCTGCAAGGCTAATGCCATTTACTCATGTTTGTGAACACAGACTTCATCTTATCTCCATGTTAAGCCTGTGGGATGGTCTGAGTCCTTCAGGCACCTGCTTAAATTTGGGCCAGAAATGGATACCCAAATGCACAACTATCTACATATCCCATAATGACTCCCAGGGTATTTATCTTCCCAAGCCATGGGAAAAGAGAGGAATTAAGTGTTAATGCCATAATCTCTAGTGTATTTGTGCCTCTCTGTGTAAAGGATCTTTTTACCTTCCCATTTGCTCTCCAAAAACTTGAACCTACTGAAGGCAATAGCCTAGAAAATGGGAGATATTTTGTGTCTTGATAATTTCATCCTGGAGAACAGGAACTGTTGATATCTGATATAAAGTAATGGGGCTGCCTGACTTTCTCTGGGCTGAACATGTTTCTTGTGTTCAGCTATGGAAAACTTGGGATGTGAACAGATCCTTCAGGGGTGTTATCAGAGGCAAGAGCAGATGGATGATCATCACAACTTGGTTACTTGGTGCTCAGGTAAAACTCCTTCTTCTATCAGTGCAATTTGCATAAAAGTGCTTTAATTAAAACAACAAAAAAACCCCAAACAAAAACCAACCAACCCACCAAAAAATCCCACCAAAATTTAGATGTGAAACTTCTGTCCCCAACTTGAAATATAAGTTCAGGTTTCACGTGGTTGCCAACAGATGTGGCATTAAGGAGCATGTACAGCAGTGAAATTAATGTATTTGCTTTAGATCAGTTGAATATACATCCCTGAGTGTCACTGAGGCTGGAACTGGAGCCAACCTCAGTGTAGTTTTTCTACCAAGGCTTATATCCATTTTACATCTTGGGATACTACACAGGGACAATTCAGTATTTCTCGAGGTGCTTTCTTTTTTTCCCAGTGATTTAGACAGTATTAAAATGAAATCTCTCAGCTATTACTGCAGTTCCTTCTCCACTAAACCAATTTGTATTCTCATCTATGAGCAAGATGCAAAGTCTTTGCTGCCAACAGGAGCTGTTAGAGTCATCTTCAGATCAAATTTTATATAAATCTGCACTTTTCATTCATATCTGAAAGTTTTATTATAGCAACCACTTAGAAAACTTCCAGAGGAATTTTGTTCCTTAGCTTTAATTACTATTAATTTTTTTTTTTCATTCCACCTCTTTGGACACTATCTACAGAGTTAATTTAGATCACAAGGAGACATGGAGACACATGGGCAAGGAGAATGCTTTCTTCTATATCTCTACATACAGAGCCAATTGCACTGTCAGTGTCTCAGAAATAGTCTCTAAGTAAAACTAAAAGAGGGCAGGACAGAGAAAACCAAGGCCAAGAACAAAGAAGAAGCTCCAGAGAAGACAGTGGAACCAAAACTCTGGAAAAGTGCACTTAAGCTTGGATGGAAATGCAGCACAGAGGCATGTGATGTTAATGGAAAGGAGATGGAGAAACCCCTGGAATGCTGTGAGAGCCTGAGCTGGATGATGGTGGTGTCACCCACCACCACCTTTGGATGAAAATAGGCTGCTGTGAGAGGAGACTCAGTGCAACTCAATTCAGAGCAGAACAAAAGGAGTGAGAACACAGACATGGTGATTGCAGAGCATCTTCCTTTCAAAAGTATGTTGAAGCTCTGAAATATCACCATGCTGAAAATGTCACCCACTTCCACAATCATCTGGAGAAATGGGACTCCAATGTTCTCCTGGCATCTGCTGGGTTTTTTGTCTTATTTTGAAATCCTGACAGTGTTCCTTTGCTGTTTTGAAATCCCATCCAGCCCAAAGCCTGAAAAATGCTTGATTCGTATGTTTTCCAGGAAATCTGCTGGAACAGGAGAGGCTGAACCCATGTTCTTGGCCTCTCAGAGATGGAGTGTGAATGGCAAGAACATGGATTGTGGTGAAGAAACACTGTCTGCAATATTTGCTCTTTTCTCCATTTTTCAGTATCTTCTCCTCAAACGTATCCCAGAAACAAATCACATCTTTCTTCATCTTTATTCCACTCCTCACTTGTACAACAAAATTGCTGTGGTGTGCTGGGGTGGGTGTCTGTGAAAGGCTGGTGGAAGAGAAGGGGGTTGGAGAGAGGGGAAGAGAAAGGGTTTTGGGAGATTGAGTGATGAATCCCCAGCCAGAACCAGTGAAAAGGGTGCTGGTGTTTGCAGTGGCGCAGAGAGTAGGTGGGGTCACCTATGAGAAATCAGTGCCACCTCTCTGCTGTGTCCCAAGGTGTGGGAACACTCCCCTGCTCCTGCAAGAGGGGATGCTCACAAAATCAACCTGGAAACTTCAAACCTCAGCTCAGAAGCGACAGGAGAAAGGCAAGTGGAGTCAGGCACTTGCCTCTGAGCCCGGGCAGTGAGATGTAAATTTGGCCGCCTGGGTGTGGGGATGGACACAGCAGCGTTTGGGGTTAATTTCACGGTGGAAAGGACAAAGCTCAGGACTAGTTAATGTCCCTTCCTTCCGATCTCCTCCAGACCTGTTGAATGTGTGTGCCCTGCACCAGCCCTGCACCAGCATCCCAGAGGATGCTCCAAAAGCATCCACTCGCATCCTCAATCCAACCAGGGGCGCGGCCCCCGCCTGCTGAGGGGAGACGGGAGCTGGGGCTCCAAAACCCCCCTTCAATTCGCATCACGCACCCCCTGAGCAAGGTTGCGAGACAGAGAGCAAAAACCCTGCAAAATACACCCCCAGCCCCGCTGCTGAGCAAAGCGGGGTAGGGGAAGCTCCGAAATCTGCCGGGTACCGCCGGTCGGAGCATCCCGAGTAATCCTGGCTGCAGAGAGGGGGTTTATCCCCACCCCACCCACCCCTGGGGATTTTCTGGCATCCCCAGGAGCAGGAACAGCCGGGGCGGGGGGCATGGGCAACGGTGTCTGGCATGATTTTCCAGCTCTGCAGCGGGGATGATTTTCTCGAAAGGGGGAAAAAAATATAAATAACCAGAAAAATCCCGCAGTGTGTCTGTACGTGCAAACTCCCCCACGCCAGCACAGCCGCACACACCGACGTGCAGCGCGATTCTGCCGCGAATCCCCTGCAACCGCTGAAGAAAGAAAAAAACCACCAAATAACCCGAAAGAAATAACCTGAGGAGCAAAGGAGGGAAAGTTGTGCGTGTCCCTGCGCGCCGGGAGGGCTGAGGGTGCCCACCAGTTGATTTTACATCCTGCCTTGTGCCTTCGTCTGCTTTTCTTTACATATTTTATTTATTTTCTGCAACGGGGAACAAAACAGGTAATGCCGGAGCCCGGCGGAACGGAGGGAACGGGCGGGTTGAGGGATGCGGTGCATTTTTCTCTTTCCCTCTTTCCCCATCTTTCTTTCCCCATCTCCCTCCCTGGAAGTTTCTTCGCGACGCGAAATAAGGAGGAAAAGCGAAATAAAAGGCGGCGGGGAGGGGAAGCTCGGAGGCAGAGCTCCGGTATTAAAGGCTGTATGGTATTTTATGGCATTTTATGGCATTTAAGGCGCGGGCGGCCAGCCCGTGTCCCCGCTGCGCGCTGCCCCGCACCGCGGAGCGCGGCCGAACCGCGGCATCGACCCATCAACCCCGCGCGTGGATTTCATCCCTCCACGCGTGGATTACCAGCTCCTCCCCCGCTAATTGATCCCACGTTCCTGCCGGAAGGCGCGCTCGGGGGGCGCGGAGGCAACCCGCGGGGCCGCAGCGGCGTGAGGGAGGTGTGATGGTGTTTGGATGCCCCGTGCGATGCTTTCGTGGGTTTTCTCAATTCCTTTTCTTGAAAGCTGCGCAAAGGTCACCGGAGGAGTTGGCTCGCTAAATATATTATAATAATATAATAAAACAAAAAAAAAAAAAAGAAAAAGCCCTAAAAAGAGCGGCAGGCATGCGCACTGCGCGGATGCCATATTGGAATGAGTGTGCCGCGGGTGCGGGCGCGGGGACGGGGACGGGGATAGGGACGGGCGTGCTCCACTCCGCGCCGCTCCGCGCATCGCTCCGCGGGGGGCTGGCCGCGGGGAAAAACACCCCAAAATAACCCAAACTCGCACAGGTAAGGCACCGCGATCTGCATTCCCCCCCACCACCACCATCCCTTCCCCAAACCCTCCCGGCTGGCGTTTCCCTTTATTTTATTTGTCGGGTTTTGCAGCGCTTCGGGTGGAGGGAGTCTCTTCCCCTCTCTCAAAATGTATCAAAAGTATTTTATTTTTTTTTTCAAACGTGGGAGATGGGCGTGTTTTTGTTTTTTTTTTTTCCCATCTTTTCCAAAGGGGAAAACGCGGTGGAGTTGTTGGGGAAGTGTTGGCGGGCGGCTGGGTCTGAGCCCCCGGCCGGGACCGGCGCTCGGAGCCGCTCCCCGGGCTGGGCACGACGGGGGGATCACGGGCGGGGCTGCGGTGCCTGTGAGATTCACCACGAGCGTGCAGGGGGTTTCTTTTTACCTCGTCGGATCGCGTTTTAGATGCTCTCATTTCTTTTTTTTTTTTCCTTTTTTTTTTTCCCTTTCCCCCCTTTTTCTTTATTCGTCCTCTTCTCTTTTTTTCCCCCCTTTTTATCCTGTCCTCTTCCTTTTCCCCACCTTGTCTTATTTTTTTTTTTAAATTTTAATTATTTAAAAATTTTTTTAAAGTAATACCCATCGTTTTTCTGCTCTCCTGACAAACGCTTGCGCGACCTCCTTTCAAATTGACAAGGCTCACGCACATCGCGACAAGAGTTATTTGGGGTGTGCGGGTGGGTTTCTTCTGAATCTGCGGGGGAAAGGGGACCAAAAAAAAAAAAATAGCCGCTGCAAAAGGCGAGAGGGAAGGAAAAAAAAAAAAAGAGAGAAAAGAGAAGAAAGCGATCAGCTCTGCCAAAATATGCAGCTCTGATCTAGACGTGTTTTCCCGTAGCGCTTCCGAACTGCGGTAAATGAATATTTATAAAGCTCGTTCTCAACATGGCGGGTTAAGGTGTCTTTAAAAACTGAAAATAAACATTTTGAGAGGAGGAAAAGAGGAAAGGCGAGGTGCCACACGTTGGGTTCAACTCTCTTTTGTTGCTCGGAGAGGTGCGCTGGTGGATTAATGCGGAGGGATGAGGATGGGATCCATCCTCGCCGTCCTCCCCCCGCCCCAGGACTCGGTGGTGGGAAAAGTACCGGGCATTTGTGTGTGCTGGGAAGGGACCTGCGGAGTTGGGAGCGCGGCCGATTTGCCTTTGAATGCCAAAATTGCAGACGTTCCATGAGAAAGAAAAAAAAAAAATGCCGGGAGGCAGAGCGCTGATTTATTTTGCATTAACAGTAGACAGTGTCGTGGGATGAGATGTCCTGTTGGAGCTGTCAAGCCTTCCTGGGCGCAGTCAGCTGGGGATGTCTGGGGTGGGTTTTTTTGCTGTTGTTCAGCAGAAGCGCTGTGGAATTTGCTCTGCACGGAAATTTGGGCTGCAAACAAGTGACTTTAGCGGTGCAACCAGCGTCGCTTTTGCAGAGGGACGCTTAAAAGCCCGCAGCGAGGGAGGCGAATCGCAGCTTTAGCAAAACAAGAGAATGAGTGTGCGAGGAGTTTTCGGGGAGTTCGTGCCCTTCCCCGGCTGCCTTTTCCAAATGTGTTTTCCGAGGGAGTGGAGGAGCGAGGCTGCCTCGGGGGCAGGAGAAACTCCCCTGATCCCGTGCAGGGAGCACTTCGTTGCTGGTGTTCCGGAGTTGTTTCACCGTGGGTCGTGAGGTGTTAACTTTGGAGCATCGATGTTCTGTGGCACGGGAGGCGATGGGATGCTCCCAGCATCGCAGGCTGTCAGTGCCCGGGTAGGGATGGAGGAGCCAGGGAGGATCCTGGAGCGGGGGAAGAGCTGATCTGCCAGCCCAGTTCCCTGTGCCTCTTGAAGATGCTCCCCACCATGATTTCATTTAGCAGGAGCGCTTGGAGACACTCTTTGCACACCTCAGGGTGAGGTTTCCCATTCCAAAAGGGCTCTGATCCATCTTCCCACCCATTTTCCCCCTCCTTTCTCCAGCCCCTCCCAGGACCAAGCTAGCGGCTCAGGGAACTCCCATTGCAGGATGTGGTGCAGAGGGGGCAGAGGAGCAGACCTAGGGAAAATTGTGATTTCTTATCAAAATAGCAGAAAACAGCATTTATTACAAGCAGAGGGGCTTGGAAGGCAGCTGTCAGACTGGTGGGACTTGGGTGGCAAAATCCAAGAGCTGCAGTGGAGTGGTGTCAGCTGGTGGGGTTTTCTGTGGGGTGGGAAGCGATGGAGCCAAAATGGGAACGTACCTCCCTGCTCTGCCCCCCTGTCATGCATCTCTCCATCCCCAAATCTGCCTCCCCTTGGACAGGACAGCTTTGTTTTTAAAATCAGTCTGTGCCCCTGGTGTTCTGGGGAAGAAAGTCGTGTAGCAGTGACCTGGTGTCTGAGCAGAGAAGCAGCTTCACCTGGTTGTGTGATGGGAATGTGGAGTTGGAGGGAGGTCCCTGGAGATCCCTCTGTACCTAGGGTCTCATCCCTTTTCCCCCAGTTCACCTTTTTCCCCTTTGCCTTGGAGGGACCTACTTAAATATGGAAAAAGCAGCTTGAAATGGCTCTTCCCTTGCAAACTGCCCTCTCTGATGGGAGCACCTTGCTTTGTGTCAGCATTGCCTGTCTGAGGCTCTGCAGCTGACACCCAACCCCGGGTGGGGTGACCCCCTATGCCCCCTGCTCTTGTCTCTTTGCCATGGGACAACCACACAAGCCAAAGGGACTGTATTTATGGGACCTCTTTGCTCCTGTTTCCCTCAAGGAGAGGGGCGTTCTGTTGCTGCATGGACCCCAGGCAGACCCCTCCTTCAGCACCAGTGAGGTGCAATAGGGTTAGCTCTGGTTGTACCAGGCAAACCTCCTCCGAGGAGTTTCTTCCTGCAGTAGCAGATGGGTGCTGGCCAGGATTTAGTGCAGTTTGTTTTCCCTCCCTAGAAGCCTTTAGGTAAAAACAAATTTGATTTCCCTTGCTAGTGGCAAAGGAAAAGCAGATGAGGCAGGTTTTCTCTCTGGGGTTGGGACTGTTGCCTGGGTGAGCAGGGATGCCAATGGCTTTTTTCCTCCTCTTTTCCCCCCCCTCTCTCCAACAGATTATTTATGAGAGGGAAGAAAATATTCTCACAAGTCTAATAAATTCAGTGCTTATAAAGGATTAGGTCCTAATAACTCCTGTGATAAGATGGAGGCTCGGTGTAATCTGTAACTAAGTGAAAATCTAAAAGCCATTTAAATAGATACAGCCAAGAGCTATCGAGAGACCAGTACACTATAAACAGCAAGGAAATACCTTTTGGATGATTTAAGGAGTGCACAGTGTAGCGGGACAGAAAATACATTATAAGCAAGATGGTATAATTTCATTTATATATTGAGAAAACATTTACAAATATTCAACAGATGTTACATGTGGCAGAGGTGGAGAGTGTGTTTTGCACAGATGTAGGAACATCTGTAGAAGACAGTGTATAGTTATATAGCTGTGATTATGAGTGATAATTGACTGGCTGGACAGGCAGTTGATGTTTTAATGAAGTATTTATTAAAACTTTATGGTGGTGTTACTAGAAATAAAATAAACACCACAAGCATCAACTCTTCAGGCTGAGGATGCTTTTCCCCCACCCTTGGCTTGTGCTGTGCTGAGCTGTGGGCCATGAAAGACATACATGTATTTTGAGTCACTGTTTCTGGCCTTTCAGAGCCATGGGATGCTGGCCTGATATGAGAACGTCAGTGAGGGGACGTGACCTTACCTTGCTGAAGGACAGGACATGGTAGACAAGGTGCCTTGTTTCTTCAGCAGATATTAGAAAGAATTTCTCGAATGTGAGGGTGGGGAGGCCCTGGCACTGGTTACACAGAGAAGCTGTGGCTGCCCCTGGATCCCTGGAAGTGGTCAAGGCCGGGTTGGAGCAACCTGGTCTAGTGGAAGGTGTCCCATGGCAGGGGGTGGGTGGCATGAGATGATCCTTAAGGTCCCTTCCAACCCAAACCATTCTGTGCTTCCTCAAGGACCTTTTGCTGGCTAAACTCATGTTAGTGTGGGGTGAGGGCATGGAGGGAATCTGAGGAGATTTACAAGGGTGGTGGTGGTTGAAGGAGGTGGCTGGTCCCTGGCTGTGTCCAAGTGACAAAGGAGTTGTGGAAAGCTTCAGAACGTGAGACAAGTAGCCAAAACTTGAAGCAGAGCAGACAGAGGTGAGTTTCTGAGGGTTCACAGAGAAAAACTAATGTGGTGACCACAGGGCCCATGTTTTAGATGACCTGAAGGTGTCAGAAGTATTTTATTACCATGAATATCGGCACAGAGTGTATCAGCTGGTGCAGCAGGGTCCAAAATGCTGAAAATTAAATGATTTTGCTATTGATAATAGTGATGCCACTTGCAAATGAGTTTGTTCTGTCATTGTAACATGTGGTCCCTGATAGCAGGGTGTTTTTTTTTTTAGGATTAGAGTAGCCAATGGTACCTTTTCAGTATTTGAAACTCATCATGTGAAACTGTTGATCTTTGAATGACAGATCCTGATGAAACCAGTCAGATCCATCCTGTGGGGTTTTTTTTTTGCCAAAAGATTCCTGTTTCCTGCATCTTCTGTGTCTAGGGTATGACTACTACAGTGATTAAAAAGGTTTGAGCTGCAAAATAGGAAAATACAGAAATAAGAGCAAAGACTCCATCACTGGCATTTAAAAAACTCCTGAAAAAGTTTATTTTGAGATTGACCTTTTGCAAGACCTAAACAAAGCATTCTTGGGAAAGCTGATTTGGAAAATGTGTTCACGGTTACTCCCATTTTTATGAATCAGAAGCGTTGTTCTAAAATTAAATAGTAATAAAAAGAAAGAAAAAACCCACCTCAGGCAGTTCTTGAGAGCTGACCAAGAGATCAATTCTGAGTAGGTGTGAGGCTTAAAAAAAGATATGTGCAGAATCTTTGCTATTTTTACTCTCACTCATGATTCTTGCTTTCATGATTAATGCTCTTAACATCACTGGGTGACTTGTGCAAGAGAGTCCTATTTTCCTGGGTAAAGTCCTGA